ATTGGTGTGTGGTTGTGAGGCTTTGTAATGCCTTCCTCTTGCTGTTTTTTTTTTTTGTCTTTCAGGTTCTTCTATTTGTATCACTTTGCCTTCTACGCTTATCATTACCGCTTCAACGGTCAGTACAGCAGCCTGGCGCTGGTCACTTCCTGGCTCTTCATCCAGGTTAGTCGCCGCCCTTGGGATTGAGCGCGGGGGGGCCGTCCGTACGCCCCGACCCTCCATCGGCGGCTACACCTTCCCACTTAGCTCTCAAGTCCGCCCCTCCCTTCGCTGTCGGAGTCGCGATCGGCATAAAAATCCAACAAGCTCCTCGCACGTTTGGGCGCGTAGAATATTTGTCGGCGCACATCCAGTCTGCGTTCCGGCACTCGCGGCCATTCTCGAAATCTCGTGCGATCAAAGGCAATCGGAGCGAAACCGAGAAGAAGAAAGGCCACCGCTGATGGTTTTTTCCAAGGCGCTGGAGGCGAGCGAGCCTCTCGTAGGCCGGTGACCTCGTCGGTAAAGAATTGCTTTGGCAGGCATACGGAGCCGTCTGGTTGACCCGCTTTGGCAAAATGGGGCGTCGGATGGGACGGCCACAGTCGGTGCTTCTCAATTGGCAAAGATATCACCTTCATTTGTTCCCTGATAACGCTCTTCGAGCAAACCTGAAACGCTTGCAAATTTGCAAATGCCTTCAGTCCGCGCCAGCCTTCGCTCCCGTAAGTAAGCCGCTGTTTGTTGTCGTGGCAGCACTCCATGATCTACTTTTTCCACCACTACGAGCTGCCGGCCATCTTGCAGCAGATCCGCATCCAGGAGATGCTGCTGCACAACCAGCAGGCGAGTCACACCAACCAGACGGCGCTGCAGGACAGCCTCAACAACAACGCCGCCGCCGGGCCTCAGCCACCGGCGGAGCCCGCCGCCGCCGCCGCCGTCGTTCTCCAGCCCCCGCCTGAAAGTCCGGCGCCGTCCTCCGCCGGCGAAGTGCGCTCGGAGCTCAACTGGGTGGCGCAGACGGCCGCCATCATTACGGAAGCCCTGGCGTCCTCCGGGCAGGAGGGGGCGGCCGACGTCGGCGACGACGCGGCTGAGTTCTGGATGGCAGAAAGGGGGGCCGGCAGCGGCCGGGAGGGAGCCGCCGGCGGAGGAGGTGGGCCTTCGGATGACACAAGTGCCGCCGCCTCGCCATCCCAAACCGACTGCGGAGCGCAGCGGAGCTCCTCCCGCACGTCTTGAGGCGGAAGCGAGAAGACGCTTGTCGCAGTCATGCCAAATAATCTGTCACCCGTTGCAGGCTGGGGATGATCGACTGAAATATGAGCATCAATAAACTGAGGGGAGGAACGCGTTGAAATGGTCAAAGGTCACGTGACGCTCAGTCATCATGGGACCTGCTTTTAGTTTGAACTTGATTGTGAGACAGTGGGCGTGGCCACTACCCGTATGTTTCCCACTAAATGACGTCACAAATGCCTTCCGCTCTGTTGAAACTGGACTCAAACGACTTGTCTTTTTCCCCCCCACAACCCGCACGTTAATCAAAGGCATTGACACCCAACACGAGAAGCTGTATTGCCCCCCCCCCTTCCCCCTACCCTCTCACTCGCTCGCTGACGTCACCAGATCATTTGGCCACTTCCAATGATCGTCGTTCTTTTTGATTTGGAATTTCCATTCGTTCCCGCGTCAACAGTTGGCCACGTTTCGTCTCAAATGAAGAGCCGTTTATTTTCTGCCAACGGCGCGGCGAGATTTCGCTCTTCCGCGAAGCCCGTTCGCACGCCCCTTGCGCGCGCGCGTGTATCGCTGCGGCGCGCGGGAGCGCGCATCTTCCTCTGCACGACCACTGCGGACGAGACAGACGGCGACCGGCCGGGCGGCTCGTTTCGCTTCTTTTGTCTTCTTGCGTTCGAAGTGAAAGTGGAACGAACGTCTCATCAGGTGAGGCGCGTGCATGCGCGGCGGCGTTTTCACCGCATTTCTTGTCATTGCGCGGGCACGCACGCGAACGCGGTTAAAAGCGGACGTTTCTTAAGAGACGCGAGGCTGAATGTCCCCCCCCCCAACGATCTTCGACGGCGGACCACGCCCCCTCCGACGTCCACCTTTCACTTCCCAAAATGTGCCCGACATGCCGCCGAGGAAGTGGGAGATGGCGTGCGTCCGGCGGCATCCAAACGTGTGGAGCGGCACCCGGTCCAGTTTGTCTCCGGGTGGGCGAAAGAAGTGCGCGCACGTGACACGTGCGGCTCATTTTCATATCAACGGCGAAGGCGCGTCGATATGACATCAAACGTTGACCTCAAATGCTCGTCGTTTGGTCAGAAGTGGAAGTCAACATCCATTTGATTGATGTTGTTTGGACATGAATTCAATATAAAGCTTCTTTGAAATTTCACCCAAATGCTTCTTGTAATTTCATCTATTTGGTACTTGGGCATTGTTTCTGTCAATCTTTAGTGGGAAAACCCCAAAACGAAGAAGCCCAGTTTTGCAAAGCCAACTGGCTTCATTGGTGGAGATGACGATCGCTCTCAGCTCAGCGGATCTTCATCGGGATTCAAAGTAGAAGAAGGTCCTGCGAGACGGAAACGAAGCCAGCTATGATTCATGCGCGTCACCTTTCAAAAAAACCCCAAAAGCAATTCCCTAAAGTCTGTTGGACGGTCCTGTCGAATCTGTCTGTCATCGTCTACGGCAGTCCGGGCCCGCAGGGCCGCCGTCCCGCCCGTTTCCCGGCTCTCCCGGCCGGCCGCAACACGCCCGATTCGCATGAGCAGCCGGTTGCGAAGCGGCATTCGAACCATCCCGACGATTTGAAAAGTGGAAAACGGGCAGGACGGCGGCCCTTGAGGACCGACTTTGGACAGCCCCGGTCGGCGGTGACTTGTGCCGTCGCCGTTGTTGCCGTTGCCCCGTTGGCATTCTCTCTCGTCGATCAAACCGACAAGTCGAGCAAAACGTTTTGATTTGGGAGCGACTCGTCCCAGGTTGGATCGATTTCCACAGCCATAATGAAGTCCGCGCGATCCAGAGCAGATTGTCCGTCGGAGTTCAACGTGCGCCGTCAGCGGCGGCCTTGCGGCGGCCTTGCGGCCGCCGCCGCCTTCCCCGCGCGTGTCTGGCGCCGAGCGCAAACAGGCACCGCCCGAGACGCAAATGGCAGCCTCGCTACCTCCGGGCTGTGCGCGTGTGTGCAATCTGGATGGGGGGGCTCAATTAAAAAAAAAATCTTATTTTAGGAGGTCATTTTGAAGTGGACGACCAAGAGCGGTCAAGTTGACGCCACCTGAAAAGCGAACAAATGCGAAGCCACCTCACCGCGTCGCTCCGTTCAACAATGCGCAGAGAAAGCACAAGTTGAATTGTGGCGGAAAAACAAAGCCTCGGGGCACGGCGACCACGCGACCTCGTCAGTTGATCCGGAAGCTTTCGTCCGGTGGCGCGCCACAGAATGACGACGGAGCACGCGTGGTCCGCGGCGGGCAGTTCGCAAGGACGCTCCGCTGGTTAGGGCTGCCCGCGCCAACTTGTTGATCACGCCAATCGAATGACGTCGCGTTGGCGGCCAGACCGAAGCCGAGGGGAAGGAAGGAAGGCCAAACTCGTGGGCGGCCATCAACCGACACGGGGACTACCGCGCGCATCGCGCACGATCGACGTCATATGTGACGTCGCGCGTGTATGCGGAATCTTCCAGGATGATGACGATGATGAGCTCGCCGTCAGACAAGACGAAAAGAAAACGGTCCAAGGACAGTCTGGCTCCGCTGCCGTGCTTCTACTTTGTCGAGGTACTCGCGCGCACGCCGACACGCACGCTGACGCGCACGCGCAGTTCATGACGCGAAGGTTGCGGCTTGCAGCTCCCCATCGCGGCGTCGTCCGCGGTGTCGCTTTACTTCCTGGAGTTGACGGACGTGCTGCGGCCTCCGCGGCTGGCCTTTCGCTGTCACGACCGCCATCTCAGCAAGCCCTACGTGGACGGAGGCCAAGAAATGATTCCGCTGCTCATGCTGCTCAGTCTGGCCTTCGCCGGCCCGGCCGCCTCGGTACCGGCCGCCGCCGCCGCCGCCGCGGACGGGCCCGCTCCCGTCTTGACCGCCCCCCCCCCTCTTGTGCTCGTGCGCGTCGGCAGATCATGCTGGTGGAGGCCTTCGTCTACTTGCTGCAGTCCCGAACCAAAACGAGGCGAGCGGAAGGCGGCGTCGACGCGGGCGGCTGCAGCTTCAACTCCTTCCTCAGGAGGACCGTCCGCTTTGTGGGTACGAGCCTCGTACGCGCTTGCTGGGCCTCGCGATCAAAACGGGAACTCGGTGAAGGCCACTGAGCGCCCGCTCGGGTCTCGCGACCCCGTGAGGGATTGACCGTCAACGAAGCCGTACGGTCAAGAAATGAAACGTTTGTTGGAAGGCGGTTTACGGAGAGGGGTTTGGGGGGTTTTTTTTGCACATTTTTACTCTGTTTTGGGACCTAATTATTCAGCGAACCATTTGCGGATCTCCGGCTCGCGCGGCGCAGCGCGAGTAAAGGAATTTCTTGGGCTACCAACGATGAGTGGGGGTCACGGTAGAAAGCTCTGATTTCCCAGGCGTGCACGTGTTCGGTCTGTGCGCGACGGCGCTGGTCACCGACGTCATCCAGCTGTCGACGGGTTACCACGCCCCCTTCTTCCTCACCGTGTGTAAGCCGAACTACAGCCACGTCTCCTGCGACGCCAACGCCTACGTCACCAAAGACATTTGCTCCGGACACGATCAGCAGGCCATCGCGGCCGCCAGGTGCGCCGCCGCCGCCGCCGCCGCCGCCGCCGCCACCTGCTTTTCGATCGGCCGCCCGCTCGGCAACTGATTGGTCTTCCTCTTCCTCTCTTGTGCCCGCGCAGGAAAACCTTCCCGTCCCGGCATGCGACTCTGTCCGCTTTTGCCGCGGTGTACGTTTCGGTAAGTCGGACCCAATGTGCAAGTCGCGCGACCCGAAAGCTTTTCGAGGACCGAGCGGTCACCGTCCGTCCCCCGCGACCGGTCATTTGTGAAGCTTTTGCTGAATGCGGCGCTTGTCTTTGTCTCCCGTTTGCTCGAGCCATCTGGTCGTCCCCTGCTCCTCGCGTCGGGCGAGCGGGTGCCTCGTTGTCTCCGCTTGGATGTCGTTTCTGTTCTGGAACGGTTCATCGCGATGGGGAATTGCGGTCAGAAGACAAGTGCGGTCTTGGTGCGCCGCAAACCTTGAATGGAGGAAACTGGACTCTTGTTGTTGTTGAAGTGGTTTTTCCTTTCAGCCAAAGGTTTCTTCACTTGCAAATTTGAGGTACAGAGTCCTCCGATTTATGGCTGTGCTAAGAAAACAAAAAAAAAAAACCCGAAAGGTCAGTCATGGTGGGGGGGGGCGGGTGGTTGGTTGGCAGGATCAGACGGTGGCACATCAGCCCCGTTCCCCAACCAAATACTATAAAAATAATTAAAAAAAACGCAGATGGGACAACGAGGCGGCCGGAGAGCGCCGACCGGCTGACGCGAGGGGCGGAGCCGACGAGATCGGGTGGTGACAAAGCGCCCGCGCCAGCTGTAAGAAAACGGCAGATAAAGTCAGACGTGAAGAAAAACGCTTGCGAAAGAAGACTCCCGTCATCCACCCGCTCGTCGTCACGGCGACGCGAGGTTACGGCGCGAAGCGGACGCGTGCGCCGTGTGTCCCTCCCCGGCAGATGTATTTCAACGCGGCCATTTCGGACGGCGCCAAGCTGCTGAAGCCCGTCCTGGTGTTTGCGTTCGCCGTCGCCGCCGCGCTGAGCGGCCTGACTCAGGTCACGCAGCACCGCAGCCACCCCGTCGACATCTACGTGGGCTTCGCGATCGGCGCTTTCATCGCCGCCTACCTGGTGAGCTCCGCCCGTCGCGAAGACGGCCTTGGCTTTTGGCTTTCGGTGGCCCGGACGCCCGCGGGCGGCGGATTTGAAGCTGTCGGTCCTTCCGCAGGCTTTCCACGCCGCGGCCAACTTCGAGTCCTCCGACGTCCCTCCGGCCGCGCCCTCTCCGCCGAGCCCGGAGGACCCTTTGCGAGCGCTGACCGAGCGGGGGCACGAGTCGGTCTACGACAAGGGGCCCGCCTCGGCCTCCGAGAGCAATGACGAGATCGCCGCCGCCCCGGGGCCCCTTCGCGCCGAGGTGCCCGCCGCCGGAAGCCTGAAGAGGGCCGGCGCCGACGCGGAGCTCGCGGCCCCGCGCGGTCCCACGGCCAAGGAGACCCTGCTGACGTTCGGCAACGCTTTACCTCGAACCGGCGGCGGCGACGGAACGCCCGCTCCGGTCCAGCCACGTCCGAAAGCGGTCCACGTGCCCTCGGAGCCCGTTTCATCACGCCGTCTCTCGTCGGAATGGAAGCGGGTCCAAAGCGTGCGGAACGAGAGCGAGCGCGGCGACGGCGTTTCGGAGGCGGGCGTGGATGACGGAGGTTCTCCCGCCCTCGTCTGCCGCCCCGCCGCCTCCGATCGGAACCCGACTCCGACTCCGACTCCTCCCGCGGGTGCCGGAGCCGCGGCCGCGCCTCGACCGCCGCAGATCCCGGAAGCGGGACCGCCTCCGGTTTCACCCAAGACCTCCTTAGCCCGCGCCAAGTGGTTGGCTATTCGAGAGAAGACGGCCGCCGAGGCGTCGGGCCGCCCGAGACCGATTCAAGCGCCGGCCGCGTCCAAGCGGCGAGGCCTCGCCGCATCGCCGTCCTCTGCGGAAAAATCCCCAGAAAGCGCTCGCGCTTGTCCCGGCTCCTCAAGCGCCGCCCCGCCGTCCCCGCGCCGCGGGCCGGCCCCCGACGAGC